ATTTACCTACTCATGTTTATTTTTCGACATTAGCGCTAGCTCTGTGGCGCGGCTCTAGCCTATTGACTTGACTCTAGCAGCGTTACAATTCGTGACAATCGATTTCTTTGTTTTACCAATACTTAACCTTCGAGGAACCACCCGCGCGCCAAAAAAAAAAGGTACACACCGCTACCCTATATTACACGTCTAATAAAACCTTACGGTAGTAAGGTTTAAATGCTGTAGCATTTAAAAAGGACAATGTTAAAATTGGCCTAAGAACCAACACCAATTTGGCATTTATGATAATTCTTAGTATATTTTTTGCGATAATTATCAGTATTTAGATTTTGACGGACACTTCCAGTTAAGTAAGCTAAATTAAAAAGTTAAAAAATTATATGATACAATAAATACCATTTTATGTGTATAATCTATGGCAGCGCTGCAAACAAAACACTCTTTCTTCCTAATGCCGGCACTTCACTTGGCTATTCGTATTTGCTATTTTAAAACATGACAGCAGTCTGTCCTTTTCATTCCTTATTAAGCATGATAAGGACAAACTGTGGTCAAGTGAAGGGCCGGCATAAAACTTATTATTCTGTGGTTGTGGTGCATGCAAGCAAAGACTTTATATAATACCATGCAGGTTGCATTCGTAGTAATCTGTGGCATTCGTGCATTCCAAAGAGTAGTATAATACCTATACCGGAAAGTGCATTCTCGTTTCGGATTACCTGTTGTGTGTGTTTATTTGCATTGTTTTGCCTTAATTTAACTATTTCGGCTATCTAATATGCCATCGATGTTACCAAAGAGCAGAGCCCCTTATTACCACGTGCTAGTGAACCTGTGCCACAACATCCTGAGAGGATCATACTGCCAAATTATTCAAGAACACCTGATACACATTCACGCTGCATATTTACACAACATACATGTGATATACAAATAAATACAATAAAGAATATGATACAATTATGTGAAAAATAGTCAATAATTAAGAAGCAAAACTACAGTTTTTATTTTATTCATGATTCCTACCTTACCAAATTTTCCTAATAGTTGTTATTCTTTAAAATCGCACCAAATAAAATGAATTAGGTGTTATATTAATTCACTTCATACTGAGTTCATAATAAATTCACAGGTTGACCTATGTTTCATTGAATATTAAACATAACCTCAAAAAAATTTTAGTTTTCCTAATAATTTAAGTTCTCAGAAGTGTCCGTCAATAATCTTTGTTTTTACAGTCATTTACTTACGATTTTGAAACTAGAAAATAATATTTCATGATTGTTGGTTCTTAGGCTAACTATGTATGGACGCTGAACAATGTCCTTTACATCCAAAACGGAAAAGAAAAGATGGAAGTAGTTCGACGTATACAACCAACTCGCATCGCAGCTCGACGAGCTCGACAGCTGCTATGCATATTAGGAGATGAAAAAGCTGGTACAGAAAATGCAGAATGGATAGATGACGACGAAGTGGACGGTAGTTTTGAAAATGAAGAAAAAGATGTTGCAATACCGATTATAGATATTTCAGCGCATTTACAGAATCCTTGGACTTCTGATTAATAGAAATATGATTTATTTATTTGTAATGAAAAGATATTTATTCATATATTTAAATTTTATTATAAAAACTAAATAAAGATTTAAATTTTGCTACCACGGCCCTATTAGCCGCGTCGAAATTTTCCTAGCCTTAAGCTGCAAGGCAGCGCCATCTCTTAGCATTGTAGGTTACCTACAATGTCAAATGAATACTTTTTCAAGTATTAAACATTTGAAAGAAGAAATAGCAATTATAGTTGTACGCGACGACCGAAGCGAGAGAAAATGAACTTACGACAATATGAGATTGATGTATAAAATGTATCTATAATTTCACATGAATCGGTTGTATACGCATTAAAAATATCATTCCCTTGTTGTCTTATTAGAATGAGTCGGATATCGCAGTAATAGATAGCTCTGCCCATAGTAAACCGTTGTAAAATTGATAGTTCAGAGCGATATTCCGTCCCGTTCTCTCCAACAATCTTATAAGAATTTGTCTAAACGATCGCCACGACGCCAAGCGGTGGCGCGGGGAAACTAGTCAGAATACTGATAGTTCCGACCTATAGGAGGGACAGAGACAATAGGCTGTCCTTGTCTCACATCTTATAGGATTTTGCCTGAGTTGATAGTTTTCGATGATAGTATGTTTTATGTTCTGATTGATTTATTTTATGTCTTATTAGAAAATAGGTAGTTATAAGAATAATATGTCAAAGTTTTGTATAAATCGTGTTAGTAGTTTAGTTTAGGCGTAATTAAGGAAAATATTAGAAATAGTTTTTTACGAATAGTCGATAGGATATAGATATAATTGTTATGATAATGATGTTATTTTGTGTGTTTTTACTTCTTCTATAAAATGGTATATGATAGTTAGGCATTAAGTGAATATAAGTAGGTTTTTTAAGACTTTTTAATTTGTAAACTTTATAGGGCCGTAGAGCTGTTGTTTATTGATATTCTTATTAGAAATTTGTTGTATTAGGTAGATAACGCATAGGGCTACGTAAATAAATAGGTATCACATCAATAAATGTAGAAATGTACCGTGTAGGAGACAAAATCTGTTTGTATAGAACCGTTTTCTGAGACATGTTGCGCTCCCCACCCGGCGCGCCCGGAGCGCGCGGGTGGGGCAGCGAAGCCCCGTGGCAGGGCGAAGCCCTATGGAGGGGGAAAGTATAAATATTGCGGAGACCTATTTTTTGCGCGCCACACCTAAAATATCATGCTTACGGACACATAACTGTGTTAAAAATATGCCTATATGTATGCCCGATGTATGTACAATTAATTTTTGAGAAAATGAAAAATAAAGTATAGCATGGGTGAGGTAATGGATCGCTGGCCAGCTCAGTCCTAGCATATAAAATTCGAGTCGGAACATGCTCCGACATGCATTCAGCGACAGGCGCTCCTACCATAAGGAACAGGAAGAAACAATCAAGCGGTTCACTCTGGACCTGAAGCCTCCTCTCACCGGCCATCCATTATCAGCGCCCACCGATTTCTTCAATACCGAACACCAGGGGTTTTATTCCACTTGTCCACTACAGTCAAGACTCCTGCGTGTAACTTCCTCCACCCCCTCAGTACGAGTCGGTAACTGTCCGCTACTGCGACAGCCCGGCGTCCCGTACAATAGTTATGATTTTATTTATTTTTTAAGCATTTAACTGCTAGATGTTTACATATAAAGAAAAGTTTAGTAGAAAAAAAAATCCACGCGGACCAGGCAGCGGACGGGACTCGAACCGTGGTAGTATAATGGTCAGTGCATCCGGATAGCGAAGGATGCGGGTTCGAGTCCCGTCCGCTGCCTGGTCCGCGTGGATTTTTTTCTACTAAACTTTTCTTTATATGTAAACATCTAGCAGTTAAATGCTTAAAAAATAAATAAAATCATAAATATTTAAATTCTTTAAATTTGTGTACTATCAATTGAAATTAATCATACTTGGGGGGTTGGGGGGGGGGTCTCCGTTTTTGTGACGGAATATTTAAGAAAACAAGTTTACTCATAGTGGTATAGGAATAGAGTAAGGGAGATATGTCCTCTACTACAAGTGGAAGTGTCCGTCTAGTAGAAAGAGAAAGAAGCAGAAAGACGGCTTAGTCGGTATTGCTGCGCAGTCGTGTGATTGGTCGGTATTCATCCGTAGGTTTTTCATCCAATGCGCATTCGCTATTAGAGAGAGAAAGTCTAGCCGCCTCTCATCTTCTTTCTCTTTCTACTAGACGGACACTTTTAGAGCCGCCTTTCCCACTCTATTCTTATACCTCTATGAGTTTACTTCAGATTTGAGATCCATGCACACATTTTTTTATGCTTAGTGTTAAGTGGCAAACAAGCTTGTAGCCAGCCTGATGATAAACGGCCACCATAGACTATAGACGCTTGCGATACCCAAAATAACACTCGTACCGTGTTACCATGACCCATTCCCTAACCCCGCGGAATAATACCCTGAAATGAAAAGTCCGCTGTGCGATCCCTCTCTTAGTATATCTATTGCGCGATGCCTACCTTGTGGAGCCCTGGAACTCTACTCAGAGACATAACACGGAACACCACCGAAAACTGTTATAACTCGTCTGTGTAAATGGATGATTTCTGCCAAGAGTTTAGATAATTAATTTAATTTTCATATTTTTCGTTTTATCATATTTAGTAATGGTTTTTAATTTACACATCTAATATATAGATAAGTTTGTAGAGAAACAATTCAGGATTGATTTAAGACATAAATTAAGCCTGGATGTACAGTAGAACTCGAATAATCAGAGGCAAAATCGGCCGGAAAACTTTTAGATTTTCCGGCCGTGATAAACATAGTGGATGGCCACACAGACCAGGGCATAGGTATCTAGTTACTGTTTCTTCACTGAGGTCATTTGAAAGTTGGAGTTGAGGTAACTTCATCCACTCCGATACGAGCGCGAAATCAGATCGTTGTGTTCCAGCAGTGTATAAGAATTCAAGGTTTTAAGGTAAGGTTCTTATTGCGTGTATGAATTCCATAACTTTTTATATTAAAGAATTATTTGTGTAGTTTCCCCATCAATTAATTTCCTATAACTAGTACATATTTATACCAAAGGAAAAATAAATCCAGAACTTTTTCATACATTTATGTCAGCGACATCTAGGTCATAAAAGACGAATTAAAATGTATCTCATCTTGCACCATGGACGAAGGATTTCGCTACGACTAGAACCGACAATATCCTAGTTCCTCAGCTACATTGCTTTTTAGTGGAAAAAAATCGTGCAAGTATGTCATAAAGTACAAAAATCTGTATATTTATACTATACATTTGAACTCAATAACAAATTATGAATAATAGGTATATTGTAGTTGTATACTTGTCTGTATGAGTATATTTATTATTATTTTTCTTTGCCTACATAGACGAGAAAATTTTAAAAACAAACAAAATGTCAACATCAGCTGAGCGACATAACCTAGAAAATAAGTGATTTATCCATTTTCATTAGTTTTTGAATAAAAATGGGCAGCATAAAATATATTTCGCGGTTATTTCAACCCACAATAACGATACCAAAGAACGCTAAGATCAAAAATACAGAAATCACTTGTAAAAGTCAAAAGGTAGGTAATTTATTGTCTTACTGTAAACATAAACGAACACGACTTTATTTATTAAGTTAAAAGAGAGTAAATAAGAAAATTAAGTCTATAGAGTTTCTTGCTGTACTTTAAATTTACCGATCACAAAGTAATTTCACACCAAAAATTGCCGATTCCATAAACAATTATTGGTTTTTAATTAACATTTCCAGTTACTCCTGGAGTTGGGACTAGTGAGACCAACAAGCTCTGGTCTTCTTGCGTTACTACCTCTCGCGAGGAGAGCGATAGACAAACTAGAAGTACTTGTCCGTCAAAGCATAGAGGAGGCAGGTGGTCAGCGGTTATCTTTGCCTGCTTTAACGCCTGCACATTTGTGGGAGAAGACTGGCAGGCTGCAGGATGTGGGCCCCGAGCTGGTGAACCTGCAGGATAGGCACGGACATAAATATCTGTTAGCACCGGTAAGTTAATCGTTTAAGACAAATATTACTATAATTTATACAAGAATAGAGGTCTTACTTCTAATGCAAAGTCTTGGGTGGACAAGCTTTAATATTTATAGTTATGTTTTTATTTATTTTTAAGCATTTAACTGCTAGATGTTTTAAATCTAAAGAAAAGTTTACTAGAAAAAAAACCACCATTATGCATAATGGTCAGTGCATTCGCCCGGATTGCCAAGGGTGCGGGTTCGAGTCCCGTCCGCTGCCTGGTCCGCGTGGATTACTTTTTTTTTTCTAGTAAACTTTTCTTTAGATTTGATATTTATGTTTATTCATATGCACTTTTAACCCTTTTTTCTGAGTCGTCAGCATCTCTGATCTGTCAGCTATATACATTTCCTTTCTTCTTGAATGGCTCCTTAAAAGACCCATTGGACCCTCAAGATTCGACCCAAAAGCAAAAAGTGCCCATTGGACCTCTTTTTTGGTGTCCATTCTACCTTCTTAAAATATTTTATATTCAATGTGCCCATTGGACCTATTTTTTGGTGCCCATTGGACCTCCTTAAAAAAATTATATTCAATGTGCCCATGGACCTCTTTTTAAGTGCCCATTGGACCTTCAAGATTATAACCTAGTTTCCAGTTGGACCTTATTAACAGTTTTGTTAAGCACAGTACAGTCATGTAGAAAATTGCAGACAAAAATAAAATTAATAGTAGGTATTATAAAGCCACTAACTAAATACTGTATAAGTACTGACTCCAAACAGTAAGTACTCCTAAACAAATTATAAAGAAATCAGGTTACCTTTTTTCTTCGAATTAACGATATTTCGCCGTCCCCGGAGAATAAAAAGATAACTATAAAAATGTAAGTTTTCAGGAAAAATAAAAAAAACTGTTTTTTGTCTATTGCTCTATAAATACTGGACGCAGACAGATGATGATAACCTTTAAGAAAAGCTAATTTTCAACACATTTGAATTTTTTACATTAAGATATAAAGGAGATATTTAGAAAATAAAAAGTGAATCAAAAGTAATCAAAATCTAATTTGTATAATGTTTATTTTTATTTTATTCGTATTGACAAGGAACCAAAACCAAATTTATTACATTAATTTTAAATTTAATTACATTAATGATCATTAATGTAAAAAGGTTTCCCTCAATAGGGCGATCGCACACTGACCAATAAATACCCTTATAGCGCAACACCAAATCCACAAGACCTTTCAAATCGAACAAAGTTAGATTGATTCAAAGTTCCTTAAAACAGCTAGGATCTAGACAATCTAAGCAACATGACGGTGGATTTTGCAAAGACATCATCTTTTGATCTAAGACTGAAATTCTGAGGGAGATTGAGTGTTTTTATCGGCAGTTATACTCCTCTTAAGCACCTGATGAAAGGAAGGTTATAGATTCCAAGCCCAAGCAATCTCTGCGCTTAAACAAAAGGATGGCACCGATCTCATATGTGGGAAAGAGAGAGAAATATTGCTGTCTCGTTCAGATTTTTGAACTATGTTGCAGCTAGAAAATAATCTTACAACCGTAGGCCATTGCTTAGAAAAAATATTATACCAATATATATTTAATTTGGTAATTTATAATGTTTTACAAAAGAAGACTGTTAAATTTTTTATGTAGGTTGGTAGTGGGTCTTTCGGGTTTAAAAAACTAGAATTTTATTTTATTCCGGTTTTTTACATTAAAATAACATAAATCTATAATAATTAATTAATTAATAAATAATTGATTTGCAAATGGCAAGTTTATTTATCTATTTTTTGTTGCCAAGCATCAAATATATGTTCAATGTTTAACAAAAGCAGTGATAATAATTATGATAATAATCCATGACTGGACTGATTGACATTGGCCATAGTGATTGAGTTGACGTTATAAGCCGCCACTAAAAATATGACGTTACAATTATTAAACACAATTTTAAATTAATCGGTAATGAATAAAAAAATCAAAGTATCTATTCATGTTATACAAACTTTCAAATTATATATATTTCGTCCCTACCGGAAACCGACTACCGCTTTTGAACCATATCCTTTAATTAAAGTATGTTTTTATAATAAGCAATTTCTCGTTAATTGTAAAAATATGATTAGAAATTTTTTTTTTATAAAATGGAATATGAAAATATTACATTGGTATTTTATTTTATGAATATTTAGAATACATAATAATTGTGCTTCAATAGTTAATCTGAGTGATATAAAAACTGTATGTATAATTTAGTTAAGATACCTGATAAAAAAACATTTCTATTTAAAAGTAAAATAACAAAATCTGTGATTTGATTATTATATTATATGGTTTGTTGCTGATGATTGATGTTTCGAATTTTATAAATATGTTGATTTTAAATACTTACATTTATAACCTTTGTGTTTCTATTTATTTTATCAATATTTAGAATATATAATAATTGTGTGATATAACAAACCATATTTATAATTTAGTTAAGCTATTTGATAAAAAATAATTTCTATTGGCTTTAAAAGTAAAGTAAAAAATCTGTGATTTGATTATTATATTTTATATAAATATTTATATTGGTTTGTTACTGATGATTAGTGTTTTGAATTTTATAAATATGTTGATCAAATACTTAGATTTATAAACTTTGTGTTTTTATGTCTTTTACAATGTTACTTTACTACACGACTGTACTTTACCGTTCCAAAAGAATTAGCCAAATAGTTAAGAGCTCCAATAACTCCCATTGTGTCGTTAAGTACGTCTTTGAGGGTCCAATGGGCACCATGTTCTTGATAGGAGGTCGAACGGGCACTTTTTTGTAGGTAAGGTCCAATTAGGAGGGTCCAATGGGTACTAGACCAAGATTTAGCCAATGACTAGTGTATGTAGCAGGGATTGTATATTTTATCCTTGTTCGGTATATTTTTGAATGAAATCTAATAACTACTTCAAGTATAGCAGTGCGTTGTGTAGGTACAAGGGCAAGAAGTGACAGAAACCGAACACTGTAGAAAAAGAATTTAAAATATGAGGTCGTTGAGATACCTGAAACAATTAAAGCTTTTTGTTAGGGTGTGAACCAGCAATATTCTACCACTAGCTACAATTTAATGTTATTATTGTCAATATATGCACACAGGACATTGACAAAATCTGAGTAGACAATAGTACGGTATAAAAATTAACAGAAGCTATATTATACATGTTTGTTTCAATATACTTGAACAAAATTATTTCATTAAATTATATGTCAAATACTTGTAAATTTGAAGTATTAGTCCAGGCAACGAATGCTCAAAAACAGGTATAGAGGGAAATGCTTGGAACACAATTTTTGACTTCGTAACTTTGTTAGGACTAGTTAGGAGGTAAACATATCAAAAGTCTCCGCCCGTAGCCCTTAAGCCGGGGGGAAGGGGACTTTTGATATGTTTACCTCCTAACTGGTCCAAACAAAGTTACGAAGTCAAAAATTGTGTTCTAAGCATTTCCCTCTATACCTTTTCGTTGCCTGGACTATATGGTAATAATGAAAGTCAAATTTGTTCAGTTTTCAACAGTTTTCTGGCTGCGATTTGTATCCAATAATTTACCTTTAATGTATAAATACTTTTCCTTGCCAGTAATAAGACATAGCTGAAGTTTTATCCAGTCCATTATTTAATTTACCAATAATAGCCAAAAACTTTCTTATGGGAAATATTTATAGGATCCAAAAAAGATCATTATGCTACAGCGGCCATGATGGCCATTTCGAATTTTCTCTAGTATTTCTTAGGCTGCACCATCTCTTCGCATTGTAGGTAACCCACAATGTCAAGTGGGCATTCTCCCGGATAGCGAAGTGGCAGTTCGAGTCCCGTCTTCAGCATGGTTGGTCACCATGGAATCTTTTGTAGCAAAAATTTTCTTTACATTTAAATATTAAAATGATCACTTATAAATATAAAATTTTTAGAAGATCAATTACTAAGTTTTTTTAATTCATATTTTCCAGAAGCATTTAACTTTACTGTCTCAAGCTCCTCCATGCTTCGGAAGGCACGTTAAGCCGTCCGGGCTGCATCTGCAGTCGTTAGCACCCACCAATCCGCACTGGTCACACATGGTGGGTCAAGGCCCAATTTCCTTATTCCATCCATAGGGAAGGCCTGTTCCCCAGCAGTCCTCACATTAATAGGCTGATGTTGATGATGACTCCTTTATTACAGACACATGAAGAAGCTGTGGCTGATCTCTTAGCGGATGTAGCTCCACTGTCCTATAAACAACTTCCACTTTTACTTTATCAAGTAAGTAATTAAGTATTTCCTACTGTTACACCAATTGGCATGATGACGGGGTACAGTAAACGAAATTCTATGTAGTCCCTCAGTTAGATGATCGAAAAAAAATCGACACATATTTTTTCTTTGGGCAATCAACCAAAAAATGACAAAGTTATAGCGCGTCAAAGTTTGGGAGTAGGGGCTCGTGACGTCACTTTTGAGTGAATTTTCCCTTATAAGTGTACTCAAACGTGACGTCATGCAACTTTTCAAATCAATATATCTCTGCAATCTTTATATTATGTGAAAAAAGAAAAAAAACGTGTCCAATACTTTTTGATAATCTACCTGATAAACGAAGAAAATAAAATTTGTCATCATCCCTATTGGCCTTTACCCCAAAGTAAGCACTGTAAGGCTTGTGTTATGGGATACTAGGGTAACGGGTAGAATACATATACTGATACATATATAAGTATATTTATATAGAAATAAATATTAAACATCCGTGAGCGGAGTACAAATGCTCGTATTCATCACACAAACATCTGACCCCACCGGGATTCGAACCCGGGACCTCTCGAGTAGGCGGCACCATGAAACCCGGCGTACAAATCACTCGGCCACGGAGGTCGTTGATCATGACTGAAGGTCTTATTTGTTTATTGTAAATTAATGCTATAATCGAGGAGCTCGATGGCGCAGGTGGCTAGCGCGTTCGGCTGCGATCGTTGAAGTTAAGCAACTTTCGCAGTGGTCGGTCATTGGATGGGTGACCAAAAATTTACTATTTCGAGCTCCTCCGTGCTTCGGAAGGCACGTTAAGCCGTTGGTCCCGGCTGCATTTGCAGTCGTTAGCACCCACCAATCCGCACTGGGCCCGCGTGGTGGGTCATGGCCCAATCTCCCTATTCCATCCATAGGGAAGGCCTGTGCCCCAGCAGTGGGGACATTAATAGGCTGATGATGATGATGATGATAATGCTATAATGGGTTGTATTTCAAGTACCGCGACGAGCACGCCATCGAGAAATGCGCGCGCGACATCTATCGACCTGTTGGGGAAGCTTATAATCATAATTAAATACTTTTTTTAATGTATTATGCACATCTCTGAAAAGGGGTTGTATTTCGGCTTAGATATGCAACAAATAGATAAGTCATTAACTAGCGCCCCGCCTTCGCTTCGCTTCGGTGTAGAGCTGAAGTGTAGACAGTACAGTTTTTGTTCTCAGGCTTGTATTATACACAATGACATTCATCTATGATTCTTCTTATACCTGCATGCAAAGTCTCAGCCCGATCGGTTTAAAATTGACAAAGTTTCATATAAACTTTCATTCCCTATTTTATCCCGTTGGGGGTAGAATTGATCAAAATCCTTTCTTAGCGGATGCCTTCGTCATAACATCTACCTGCATGCCAAATTTCAGCCCGATCCGTCCAGTGGTTTGGGCTGTGCGTTGATAGATCATTATGTCAGTCAGTCAGTCACCTTTGAGTTTTATATATATAGATAAGCGAACTGAGGGCGGGTCACTAGTGTATTTAATGATGTAATGGAAGGTGACTTCAGACGTATTTCTGAAGTCATTTTTTAACTTGACGAGTCTGTGTATATCAATACAGGGACAAAAAACAGCCCTTGCTGAGTTTCTTGCCGGTTCTTCTCAGTACAAGGTCTCCCGCCGTAGTTTTGCGAACCGATGGCGTAGCTTCTAGACCTTCACAAGTGCTTGTAACAGCCTAGACTGAATAAATGACTTTTCATTTCATTTATATATGGTTGTATTTCGTGTTATTTATGCAACAAAAAGATATATATATTATTCGGCCGAATACCGAATACTTAAATAATATATTTTGTCATAAAGAAATAATTGGTAAAATAAAAAATTAAAATTGATTGATTACGTATATATTCATATTTTCATTTCTGTTATATAATCATTTAAGTAGTCATTGGTACATAACACAGGTACATAATCATCTTCTGAATTGGAAAAATGGAGGATTCTATGTATTTCAATTATTGTGGTAATCAAAATTTAGAAGGGTAAGGTTCTCATTTCTTTTATAATCATTTATTAAGTAGTCATTGGTACATAATCTAATCATTTACTGTATTAAACAAGTTAACAGTTTTTAATTCATTCAGTCATGTGATGAATGGTTACATAATAGAAATAATTTAAAGTTTACGCTCTGTTTTTGGTCATATCTCAAAAGTTGGTTTTGTCATTTAGCCGCATTTTAGCTTGAGGACGGCAGATTAGAACAAAACAAAGGAGCGCGAAATAATCACGTCTGTACAAGTTTTTGGCGCTAAAATCCAGCCGAATACTTTTGCCTAATATTCGGCTATTCGGTCAGGGGCCTCGCCGAATATTCGGTATACTTAGGGCTGCCATCCGTCCGGGTTTCCCCGGATTTGTCCTAGTTTACGGGAGGTCCGGGGAGCGTCCGGGCGGGGTTTTATTTGTAGTCCGGGTTTAAAAATTTACGGCAACGCATGAGTGCCCTTCAGAAGCTATTCGACTCTGTCATCCTCGGGGGCATTGTTCCAAAAGTGTGGACCAGGAGCGTGGTGGTGTTGTTCTTCAAGAAAGGCGATAAAACCAGCTTGAAGAACTATCGACCTATCTCGCTCTTGAGTCACGTCTATAAGTTGTTTTCGAGAGTCATTACAAATCGACTTTCGCGCAGGTTCGACGACTTCCAGCCTCCCGAACAAGCCGGTTTCCGAAAGGGCTTTAGTACCATGGACCACATACATACGCTACGTCAGATCATACAGAAGACCGAGGAGTATAATCGGCCTCTGTGTCTAGCGTATGTGGACTATGAGAAGGCCTTCGATTCGGTCGAGACTTGGGCGGTGCTGCAGTCCCTCCAGCAGTGCCAAATTGACTATCGATATATCGAAGTGTTGAAGTATCTGTATAGGAACGCCACTATGTCAGTCCAAATCCAGGAGAGAAGTACGAAACCGATTCCATTGCAGAAGGGTGTCAGACAGGGAGACGTAATTTCCCCGAAACTGTTCACCGCTGCATTGGAAGACGTCTTCAAGCTTCTCGATTGGACCGGACTCGGCATCAACATCAACGGCGAATACATCATCACTCACCTTCGATTTGCAGACGATATCGTGGTCATGGCAGAATCCCTGGAGGACCTTGGCACAATGCTCAATGACCTCAGCAGAGTTTCCCAACGGGTTGGTTTAAGGATGAACATGGATAAAACCAAGGTCGTGTTCAATGTCCATGTCACTCCAGCACCAGTATCTGTTGGGAATGCAATTCTCGAAGTTGTCGATTATTACGTCTACCTAGGACAAACAGTCCAGTTGGGCAAATCCAACTTCGAGAAATAGGTCAACCGACGAATCCAACTCGGATGGGCAGAGTTCGGGAAGCTTAAGCACATCCTCACGGCCAAAATTCCCCAGTTCCTGAAAAGAAGAGTCTATGACCAGTGTGTGTTACCAGTGATGACTTATGGGACTGAGACGTGGTCTCTGAATGTCGGCCTCATAACAAAACTCAGAGTCGCGCAGCGTGCTATGGAGAGGGTTATGCTCGGTGTTTCCCTGCGTGATAAGATCCGAAATACGGAGATCCGTAGAAGGACCGGTGTGTACGACATAGCCCGAAGAGTTAGCACGCTGAAGTAGCAATGGGCAGGCCACATCGCTCGAGGATCTGACAACCGTTGGGTAAGAAAGGTCCTTGAGTGGCGACCACGTACCGGACGACGCAGCGTGGGGCGGCCCCCAACAAGGTGGACTGACGACATCGTCAAATGTGCTGGGAGCCGCTGGATGCGGATAGCGCAGGACCGCGCATTGTGGCGTTCTATGGGGGAGGCCTATGTCCAGCAGTGGACGGAGAAATGCTGATGGATGGATGATGGATGGATGAGTGCCCTTGGTGCTGCAAGTGTCCATGGGCAGCTGTGACCACTTATTATGTGGTAGACCGCTAGCTGTTTTGCCTAGATCAACATAAAAAAGTTGATTTGTGATATTTTTAACTGTTTTTGTATAGGTCTGTCCGGGTTCTGAGCTCCAAAATCCGGGGTTATCACGCGTCTCATCCTGGTTGCCACATTTTAGAGATGGCAGCCCTAGGTATACTGCCGAATATACTATTCGTTGCAAGTCTAGTATAAATGTGTAATAAGCGAAATGAGGGCGGGTCGTTAATGTATCTATAAAGGGTTGTATTTCGGCTTAGATAAAGTACAGACGGACCCAGACCAGGGGGCCATTCGCCTAACGGAACTGCTTTGGAAAACGCTAACGCCTACGATTTCATTTTGTTATTTCTGACCGCCGAAGGTTTTCAAATACCTCATGCAATTTTGACGTGACAACGTCTTAAATTAGGTTGCGGCTGGGAGTCACTTATGAAAAAGTGTAACGCTCGGTAACGTTACGATGAGTCTCTCGTGTTAAGTTTAAGTTTACATGTACAATGTTTTAGTAAACAAAATATATTTCTATAGTTAAAATTTGTGCAATTCTTATTTTCATTCAATTCCTTGTTCCTATTGTGCAATTTAATTATATTCATATCAATAAATATTCTACCGAGAAAAAGACGTTGTCACGTAAAATCTTCGCCCGTAAAACCGACTTTACAGGCAACCATTTTTTTTTTAATATTGTTATTACCAATGCAAAAGAAAAAAAAAAGAGCGCGAGGCATTTGAAAACCTCAGGCGGCTAGAAATAACAAAATAAAATCGAATCGTTAGCGTTTTCCAAAGCATTTCCGTTAGGCGAATGGCCCCCAGGGGGGGGGGGGAGTCATGACCCCCATGACCCTGGATCGGCGGATCCAGGGTCTCGGGTCCAGACTCATTCCCACTCTGAAAAGGGGTTGTATTTCGGCTTAGATAAGCAACAAATACCGCGACGAGCACCGCCCCAAGCACGGGTTGTTGCGCGCGCGCGAGTTCCTCATGCTGGACGCGTACGGCGCGCACGCGCATGAACAATGCGCGCGCGACATCTATCGAAAAGTTGGGGAAGCTTATAGCAAACTGTTCGATGCGCTCCATCTGCCGGTGTACAGAGGTAAATAATAATTAGTAGATTATTAGTAAACCACTAAATAAATATAAATAAATAAATATTTCCAACACTCACACCAATTAGCTTAGCCCCAAAGTAAGCAATGTAAAGCTTGTGTTATGGGATGCTAGGGTAACGGATAGAATACATATACTGTACATATATCAGTATATTTATATAGAAAATACATATTAAACATCCATGACTGGAGTCCAAATGCTCGTATTCATCACACAAACATCTGCCCCCACCGGGATTCGAACCCGGGACCTCTCGAGTCGGCGACACCATGAAACCCGGCGTACATACCACTCGGCCACGGAGGTCGTCAACTACACACATCAAAAGTGTCTAGGGATCAAGCATTTTTATGCGGATTTCTTGAGATTGAGATGTGGCTTTGTAATAAATTTATGATTTTATAAATTTATATGGATCCTTTTTGGTGCATTTCATAATTTGAATCAGGAACTGTGAATCAAATTCGAGTAAAAGATGAAAATCAGCTGTCAATATTTTCCCTATAAAAACATACAACGCATTGAAGACATTATTAGTGCTACTGTTTCCCTACTACTGATTAAAACCAACGTTATTATGGAGCGGCGACGTCATTTAAGCAGGGAAGAAATGCTCAGAGCCGTGGGAATGATAGAAGCTGGTTCCCGGCAACGTACTGTGGCTTTAGCTCTGAATACAAGTCAGAGTGTTATCAGTCGACTTTGGACACGATACCGAAGCACTGGTACCGTGGCTGAGCGCCATGGAGGACGGTATCGCTGCACCACACGGAGACAAGACCGATACATTCAAATCTTAACTCGAAGAGCTCCAACAATAACCGCCATGATGTTAGCCGTGAGGCTTCATCACTCTTCAGGGAACTTAATTAGCGACCAAACAGTCAGAAACCGCTTGCATGAAGTGAACCTTCATTCCCGAAGACCGCTACGGGTACCACCTATAGCAATGCACAATCGTAGGATTCGATATCAATGGGCTCTTGAACACAGAAATTGGGCAGAAGAACAATGGCGTTTCGTGTGCTTTTCTGATGAGTCTCGTTTTGGTATGAGACCGGATACAAGACGTATACGACACTGGAGAACCCCTGGACGCCAACAGCGATTAAAATCCTGCCAGGAAGTCCATCCTTATAGTGGTGGAACCATCATGGTATGGGCGGGTATTTGGATCGGCGGAAGAACTGAGTTGATTTGGATCAGAGGCAACCTCAACGCTCAAATTTATGCTGAGACGATTGTATCAGACGTCATCGTTCCTCTACAAGTGCAAATCGGTCCCTTATTTCAGTTAATGCATGATAATGCACGACCGCACACCGCAAGAGTTGTAAGACAGACTCTCGCCGCAGCTAACATCAATGTCCTGCCCTGGCCTGCTCAGTCGCCAGACTTGAACCCGATTGAGCATGCATGGGATATGCTACAGAGAAGAGCTCTGCCGAATATGGAGGGTATCCAGTCGCAAGAAGACCTTTTTTTGTTGTTGCAACGAACATGGGCGGCCATTCCACAGCGTGATTTGGATGAACTCATTTTGAGTATGCCAAACCGATGTTCTTGTGTTGTTAGTGTTCGCGGTAGAAATACGGATTATTAATTGTTTAAGTTACCCAATAAAATTTTAGAGAAAACTGTTATTTCAGTCTTTTTTTCGAACTTTTGTGTTAGTGGTTCAAATGTCAAAAATCCCTTTATTAGGAAAATGGCAAATTTCTTTATCAATGCAAAGGTGACTTGGTTTATCGTTACTGTGACAAACGAAAACACTTTATTTGATGAATCCTGAAAGAAAATTTTAATTAATATCAATCAGGAGAAAAGTTATTGCAAAAATATATGTTGATCCCTAGACACTTTTGATGTGTGTATATAATAATTACAAAATAGAAATCACGTGATTTCTCGAAAACCGGAAGTGCTACGTTACTCAAATCCGGTTTGTAGTCTTATCAGACTATTCTTAACTTATAATTTAAATATTCTCTTTATCTATCTCTTACGGTTTGGCCGCTGAAACAGCACCACAGACAGACGGACGGACGGACTTGTCTAATAGATGAGAGATTTACCAAGGGGATAAAGCAGTGTCTTCTGTCGCGGGTGACGATTTAAATCGCGAGCGTAACGAAGGACTCGTGGTTTACTCCCGAGCGTAGCGAGGGTGTTAAAAACTTAAAACACGAGCGAAACGAGGGATTTAAGACGAGTCCTGAGTGTAGCGAGGGATTTAAGTTCACCCAAGACTAAGACAGCTTTATCACCGAGGAAAATACTCTACTTTTCGTACCATTTGGATGACCATACCCCTAGAGGATGAATGAAATTCAGTACAATTTTCTTTCCCTGTTTTTAACAGATTAAAAATGACTATTGTTATGTTCGCTTTTTGTGGCATAGAATGTCACTTTTTTGAGCAAGTGCTACGAAAAATATATTTATTATTTTCATAAATATTTGTTCGTTTTATTTTAATTAACAATATATTTTGTGGTAGCATAATGGTCAGTGCATTCGCCAGGATAGCGAAGGGTGCGGGTTCGAGTCCCGTCTGCTGCCTGGTCCGTGTGGATTTTTTTCTTGTAATATTTTATTTGTTTCTTAGGTTTTCACGCACATCACTCATTAAATAAAACTAGTTTTTAACGGGTTAATGCACGAAACTTTATTTATTTATTGACGTTTCGTCAAAATAAGTTAAAAACTAGTTTTATTGTAATATTTTCTTTGGATTTTAACATCTAGCAGTTAAATGCTCAAAAAAATGTAAATATCTAATAAGTTTTGTCATTTTAGGAAAGGCTGGCTTCTGATATAGAAGTTTTACTTACATCGGGAGGTAGGGTGATGTAGATTTGTAAATTGGTGATGTTGAATTTTTTTTTTCATTTTCATTACATCGCATTTGCATTACATCTTTAATTGCTATTTTAAAATGCGCACCTTATCAACAGGCATACGTTGCTCCGTGATAGAAAGCATGCCCTTGCACGCAGGCGGCCCGGGTTCGACTCCCAGCCGAGGAAAGACTCTTTTTTTAATTAATGATACTCTAGGAAGGCCGAAGAGGAAGATCTTCCGTCGAGCTGTGTGATGGTAGCTCGGGAGCCGTGGGTCGAGCATTGTATATATCGAGTGTTAACCTTCGAATTTCACTTGCGCGATGTAGGCTTCCATACTATTGTGATCGCAGCGCAGGTAGCGCCATCTCTTGAGAAGGCGAGTGATTGTTCCCTCCATGTCGCCGCCACAATACTAAGTTTTCAAAAAAAAATGGGTGCGTGTACTTATGTAGGCGCGTGAGAAGTTATCCTTCTTTGGCATCGTTTAAAATTAGTTTTTAATTGCATGCAAATAATTAATTACAATAAATTAATAAAAAGTCTGGAAAAGGACACAGTCAATAAAGTTCAGTTTTAATTTGAAAAAATAAATAAATAATCAAAATATTCAATTAAAATCGCTACTGAATATAATTTATTAGAACATATGTGATTTGCACTTGTATGAAACTCAAACACGTATTCCGAATATACAAACTAGAAACATGTGGATAAATATTATAAATATGAATACCTATAACTGTTACTTTATTACAAAAAATAAAGATGTGGTTTTTGGTTCTACTACACCAATGGTCAAGAGATGGCGCTGTAGTCTCCTGAATCGCGCTTTGGTTCCGTTGTTCCAGATTAATAAATACGTCGCTAAAGCGACCAACTTCATGCTGTTAAAATTTTGTGTTACAGTGATGCGCGCGCATCTTAAAATTTCACTCTCATAATTTTTTCATAACGCGCCTAAAGAAGTATAACTTCAAAAATGTTGGTTTAAAGAAACCATACCAATTTCTTTTATTATACAACTGTATTATTCGATGATCTCTGAGGCCGAGTGGTATGTACACCGGGTTTTACGGTGTCGACGACTCGACAGGTCCCGGATTCGAATCCCGGCGGGGACAGATGTTTGTGTGATGAATACGAAGGTTTGTACTCCAGCCATGGATGTTTAATATGTATTTCTATATCAATATTACGTATATATGTACAGTATATGTATTCTATCCGTTACCCTAGCATCCCATGACACAAGACTTACAGTGCTTACTTTAGGGCTAGGCTAATATATGGTAGTGAGTGTTAGAAACATTATTATTTCTATCCTACTTCAATCATTCTATATTCTACTTACAAATTCTTATTTCTCGTCATTCATTCATTCATTCTATTTAGTTCTTATACTATATTGAATATACAATCTGTTCTCGTATTCAGTACTCTCTTTCTAATCTCACTAATACAAATAAAATTGGTGTGTGTTGGAAATATTTTTATATATTTATTTAGAAATGTTTTTCCTTTAAATTTTAATTAATAATAACAATATGTTTATTAGAAAAATTAAAATAAAATACTAGAAAAAATTCACCGCGGACCAGGGAGCAGACGAGACTCGAACCCGCACCGTTCACTATCCGGAAGAATGCACTGACCATTATGTAAATAATTGCATAGTTGTCAGTAAATCTGAAACTATGAATTATTAATTATTAACTTGACAGTTGAAGCGCCATCTGGCGACATGGGCGGGTCGTTATCACATGAATGGCAGGTGTGCGCGCGCGCCGGGGAGGATCTGATAGAAATATGTCCGTCCTGCTCGCACGCCGCCATACCCAGCCAGGGGAAACAGTGTAGCCGGTGCGGGAGCGAGACGGACACCCATAGCTGTATAGAGGTCAGTACTTGTTGATGTATATTCTTAGATTAACCCCTCGTCTTTGTAAGTGGATGGATTTCTGCCACGAGTTGAGAAGATTATTTTCATACTAGTGGCCCGCCCTCGCTTCGCTTCGGTGTAGAGCTGTAGTGTAAACTATAGTTTTTGTTCTCAAGCTTGTGCTATAAACAATGACTTTATTTATATAATTACACGTGTTATTGTGAGTCAACCATAAAAGATAGACATATGCTGTTGCAGGATATTTTTTAGACAATTTTATGTAGAATATTTCCGTCATACATGATTTCTATGTAACTTTAACCATTAAGGCTGCACACGCGACGGAAGCTTAAAAAATGGAGTAACTTCTCCCGTTTTCCCAACATTTCCCTTCACTACTCTGCTGCTATTGATTGTAGCGTGATGAAAAGTATACTATAACCTGCCCAGGAGTATGAACAATAATTGTACCAAGTTTCGTTAAAATCCGTCGAGTAGTTTTTGTTTCTATAAGGAACATACACACAGACAGACAGACAGACAAAAAATTTACCGATTGCATATTTGGCATCAGTATCGATCACTAATCACCCCCTGATAGTTATTTTGAAAATATATTTCATGTACAGAATTGACCTCTCTACAGATTTATTTTAAGTATAGATTTCATAGTTTTCTTTTTATCATATTTAGTATTAATGGTTTGTGGTGTCCTGGTAGGTCTAATATTGTAATTTTAATAGATTTAGTTTATGTGTGTTTATCTACCTTCATATGTGATTTAAAATTTTTGGTAAAATATAATATTGTTTTTATAATTTTTATTATTTTTAAAGCATGTAACTGCTTGATGTTTAAATCTAAAGAAAATATAACTAGAAAAACAACATCAAGCAGTTACATGCTTTAAAAATAATAAAAATTATAACTATAGTTGCTATTTCTTCTTTCAAATGTTTAATACTTGTAAAAGTATTAATTTGACATTGTGGGTTTACCTATAATGCGAAGAGATGGCGCTGCCTTGCAGCTTAAGAATAGCTAGAAAGAATTTCGACGCGGTCCGTGAGGGCCGCGGTAGCATAATTGGTCAGTGCATTCGCCCGGATTGCGAAGGGTGCGGGTTCGAGTCCCGTCTGCTGCCTGGTCCGCGTGGAATTTTTTCTAGTTATATTTTCTTTAATATTGTTTTGTTAAAATATTGAAAATAATGCACTCACAAATACTTTTTTTGTTTTCAAATTACCGTCGATGCATTGTGAATATTTATTGTTTTAACTCATTTTAATTTCTTTTCCAGTAATAGTACCTACATTTTGTTTACTTATAAATTAATAGGAACTAGCAAACCAGTGAACCAAATGTTCACCAAAAAAAAAAGAAAAAAGTATTTAATTAATCGAGAACTTCGGAGATTTTGTGTGGTTTCGTTGGAAATAGAAATCACGTGATTTCTCGAAAACCGGAAGTGCTACGTTACTCACATCCGGTTTGTAGTCTTATCAGAGTATTCTTAACTTATATCTTAAACATTCTTTATATCTATCTCTTACGGTTTGGCCGCTGAAACAGCACCACGGACGGACGGACGGACTTGTCTAATAGATAAGAGATAGTGTTTCAATGTTAAACGGGAATGGGCGTTAATTCTGCAACACAGTTTTTGTAAAACTATAGCAGATTTAACGTTTCATAATTTTATGTAGGTACATTTGCACTTGTTCCAAATAAAGTTGTTATATTTTATTTGATGCTAGTATGAGCGTACCTTATCTTCCCTTTTTGTTTTAAACTAAATGTATATTCTAAAGAAAAGTTTTACTAGAAAAAAAAATCCACGCGGACCAGGCAGCGGACGGGACTCGAACCCGCACCCTTCGCAATCCGGGCGAATGCACTGACCATTATGCTACCACGGCCCTATTGGCCGCGTCGAAATTTTCCTAGCCTTAAGCTGCAAGGCAGCGCCATCTCTTCGCATTGTAGATAACCCACAATTTCTTTTCTAGTAAAAATTACGTGAGGTGTATTTTTAAATTTTCTGTCCCTCCCTCCCCCCCTGGTGAGATGTCGTGAGATTTTATGGGGCCCTCCCCCATCCCCCAATCTCACGTGAGATTATTCAATATGGGTGGGTTTCTTACGTAAACGCGTTGGATTGTTACAAATATGGTGGTTTGACAGTCATGTATAACGTCGAAGTATGAATGAAATTATTTTCTTTCGAACGCATTAGTGAATGATCTTTAATCGTATTACGATTACTCTTAAGATTAAATCTTAAGCATGTACAATCTGGAATAAATGGACCAAAATAGTATATATTTTTTTTGGTTCAATCAGAAAAAAATTGCGTGATATTTGCCGAGACCCCCCCTCTCCAGCGTAAGATTAGATGAGATTTGACTCGACCCCCTCCCCCCCCTTAAACATCTCACGTTATTTATGGACGCCACCTTATTAGCTTAAAAATAAATAAAAACATAAGTGTATATTTAAATCTAAAGAAAATATAACTAGAAAAAAATCCACGCGGACCAGGCAGCAGACGGGACTCGAACCCGCACCCTTCGCAATCCGGGCGAATGCACTGACCAATTATGCTACCGCGGCCCTTACGGACCGCGTCGAAATTCTTTCTAGCTATTCTTAAGCTGCACGGCAGCGCCATCTCTTCGCATTATAGGTAAACCCACAATAGATTCTTTCTTAATCTTATCAATTCTTTAGATTTAAACATCAAGCAGTTACATGCTTTAAAAATAATAAAAATTATAAGTGTATATTGTTAAAAACAAGACAATCCCGCGGTATCATAATGTTCAGTGCATTCTCCCGGATCGCGGAGGGTGCGGGTTCGAGCCTCGTCTGCTACGTAGTCCACATGGATATTTTTCTAGTAAATATTTTTCTTTAGTATTAAACAGTTAAATGCTTGAAAATAAAAAAAAATAACTAAAATCTGATTGTTTTTCGCTCCTCCGTGCTTCGGAAGGCACGTTAAGCCGTTGGTCCCGGCTGCATCTGCAGTCGTTAGCACCCGCCAATCCGCACTGGGCCCGCGTGGTGGGTCACGGCCCAATCTCCCTATTCCATCCACGGGGAGAGCCAGTGCCCCAGCAATGGGACATTAATAGAACGAATGTCATTTTTAGGTAGGTCACACATTCATCCTGGGCACCAAGTACAGTGAACCCCTGAAAGCGCAATTCACTTCCTCTTCTGGAGTTTCGGAACCCTTGATTATGTCCTGCTACGGAATCGGCATTACAAGGTATTTATTTATTTATTTTCTTTACTTTAGGAATGTTTCAGCTATCAATAACTTATTTATTGAAGTTATACTTCTTTAGGCGCGTTATGAAAAAATGATGAGAGTGAAATTTTAAGATGCGCGCGCATCACTGTAACACAAAATTTTAACAGCATGAAGTTGGTCGCTTGTGCGACCAACTTCATGCGTTACTTTTGTGTTTACCGCACATTAAGAAAATCTACCAACAAAATAGAAATAGAATCTCTATTTAGTGGGTGCTAACGACTGCATTGTAAAGGCCTATCAAAAGTATTTATTAATCTGGAACAACGGAACCAAAGCGCGATTCAGGAGACTACAGCGCCATCTCTTGACCATTGGTGTAGTAGAACCAAAAACCACATCTTTATTCTTTCTAATAAAGTAACAGTTATAGGTATTCATATTTATAATATTTATCCACATGTTTCTAGTTTGTATATTCGGAATACGTGTTTGAGTTTCATACAAGTGCAAATCACATATGTTGTAATAAATTATATTCAGTAGTGATTTTAATTGAATATTTTGATTATTTATTTATTTTTTCAAATTAAAACTAAACTTTATTGACTGTGTCCTTTTCCAGACTTTTTATTAATTTATTGTAATTAATTATTTGCATGCAATTAAAAACTAATTTTAAACGATGCCAAAGAAGGATAACTTCTCTCGCGCCTACATAAGTACACGCACCCATTTTTTTATTTTTATTCACAGATTATTGGCGGCAAGTTTAGAAGCATTATCGACAGACACGTGTTTACGATGGCCACGACCTATAGCGCCATATTCAGCCATTATCATAGGACCTAAGGTGAGATTCTATATTTATTTATTTATGGACCATCAATATCATATCAATCAGCTATATTAATACAAAGAGACTAACACATATGCTTAAGTCATCATTCCATCAGGTTTTCTATATTAAATAAATCATAATTGTATTGACGTTGTAACAACATAATGATTTGTAAATGTTGTTACATTAGACTTTTAACTAGCAAACCAGTGAACCAAATGTTCACCAAAAAAAATGTATTTAATTAATTGAGTACTTCGGAGATTTTGTGTGGTTTCGTTTGAAATAGAAATCACGTGATTTCTCGAAAACCGGAAGTGCTACGTTACTCAAATCCGGTTTGTAGTCTTATCAGACTATTCTTAACTTATAACTTAAACATTCTTTTATCTATCTCTTACGGTTTGGCCGTTGAAACAGCACCACGGACGGACGGACGGACGGACTTGTCTAATAGATAAGAGATGTTGTAGAGTTTTTAGCGCTCGTTTTTCTCCGCAGCTAAAAAATATGACCATAACGAGTGGTAGGGAAAAAAAATTTGGACGATTCAAAAGAGTTGTACTATACATCCAATATGAATAAAGATATATTGATTTCTGATTTGAATTGTTAGGATAGAATATAACTGTAATTAAAGATGGCCTCATCATGCGCTAAACAGTTAACAGTTTCTTTTTGTATAATATCTATGTAAGAAATTTACTAGACAAAACAAATATTTGCCCAATCACAGAATAATCCTCTGAATCCAAACAGTCCATCATTTTCTATAATTATTTAATAACTAAATATTTATAATTTTATAATTTTTATTATTTTAAAGCATGTAACTGCTTGATGTTTAAATCTAAAGAGGGTAATTTAAGGGTGCGGGTTCGAGTCCCGTCTGCTGCCTGGTCCGCGTGGAATTTTTTCTAGTTATATTTTCTTTAGATTTAAACTAAATATTTACTACAGATAGTGCAATCCACGAAGATGCACCCCAACAATTTTTGGTTGAAGGATAATTAGTGATAAAAATATAATTAGATAATTATCATATTATTATTTATTATAATTAGTGTGTACTGATAACAGTCAAATATTGGCGGAAGCTGGTACTTCGTGGTTTGCAATATCTGTAGACTCACACCAATCTGTTATAGAAAAAACCTAATAATATAATTAAATATACAACAGTATACAAAACAAGCGGATAGCTGGTAATATGTCTTGGTATTATTTGAAGTCTGTTAAAAGTATCTAATAGAGCAAAGATTATGCATCGTTAATTTTTTTTTTCATTCGTTCCATTCGAATAAACATCCATTATTCCTTTCAATCATTCCGTTCAATTCGTTCTTCCTTTAAGACTTCATTCATTTCAGTATTCTACTTAGTATTTATATTTCTCTTCATTCAAAATTTAAAATTTTTCATTTATTCCGTTTACGGTATATTCCGTAATATATACCAGTATACTGGCAAGTGCTAATGACGTCATGAATCGACGCTATGCTGGTGAATTGTTCCGAAATATAATGGCCAGTGCACTGACATCATAAATCGACGAAATATTAAAAATAGTGCGAATAAAGAAGAATTTTTATTTCTCCTTATTAAAAGGAATTCTTTTTGTACGGATGCCATTATTGTTTTTAAATAAAAAAGAAATAATCATCTCACGCACACTCGGTCATACGTCATATTCGTTTTCCCGGTATAAAATATGGTAGCATACCAGTACAATATGGCGTCGGATTCGTGACGTCATTACCACTGGCCAGTATACTGATGTTTATATCGGAATACACCCCATTATTCCTTTCAATCATTCCGTTCAATTCGTTCTTCCTTTAAGACTTCATTCATTTCCGTATTCTACTTAGAATTTATATTTCTCTTCATTCAAAATTTCAAATTTTCCATTCATTCCGTTTAATGTTTTCTTCCATTCAGTACTTCAATCATTCAATATCATCCTTACAATCCTTACTTCTCATTAATCATTCTTTTTACTATATAGTATATTATAAAGACTTAGTCCGCCAACAACACATAGCTCACCATGCATTGTCATCCAAATTAAACGTGTGTACAAAATTTCAGCTCAAACGAATGAAGCCATCTGCTTCAAAATTGAGTTGCAAGATTCCACCCGAACAAAAATACGCATTGCAAGTTAAATAAAAGCTATATTTTTTTTATTATTTTAAAGCATGTAACTACTTGATGTTTAAATCTAAAGAAAATATAACTAGAAAAAATTCCACGCGGACCAGGCAGCAGACGGGTTACCTATAATGCAAAGAGATGGCGCTGCCTTGCAGCTTAAGAATGGCTAGAAGAATTTCGACGCGGTCCGTGAGGGCCGCGGTAGCATAATTGGTCAGTGCATTCGCCCGGATAGCGAATGGTGCGGGTTCGAGTCCCGTCTGCTGCCTGGTCCGCGTGAAATTTTTTCTAGTTATATTTTCTTTAGATTTAAATAAAAGCTTTTAAAATAAATCAATTTGTTCTTCCATCCAGTACTCCAATCACCAATTTCACTATCCTACAAGACTTACAATTCGTATTTCTCTTCATTCAAATTGTTTGTGGTATGTGTTTACATTTGTCTCATAGGAAATTAAAAAGAGTAAAGACAGTTATTTCATTGTCTTTTAGCGAACCTAACTGGGAATGACGGACTTTTTGGCGGGATCGGGAAGCGTCAGTTTAGCAGTTTGGTTTTTCTTGATAAACATTGTGCTGTGGCGGATGTTAGTGTCTAATAATGGTGGATTATTAACCACTAAGTGTTCGGGAACATGCACACGTCTTAGCAAGTGCAATAAAATAGCGGAAAGTGTCTTTCGACGTTCCCTCAAGAAGTCCACGGGGAGGTTCCAGTAAATCCCCACACTTTTACTGAAACATAGGGAAAGGGGGATTGACTTGACTGCCACTTACTTTGGCTTGATTTAATACTTTGACCACGATTGCTATAGTATTTGTAAACTATAGCAATCCATACAACCTTTGCCTGTTAAAAAAATACTCATTGAATGCTGATTTGAAATAAAAAAATGTTAATGGTTCCCAAAAAATTTCATTTAATTTCGCATATTATGTCAATTTTCGTGGATATATTAAGCATTATTCATACATATTTGCATGTATATAACAAGCTTTTTATGTTGCATACATTTTTATGTCCGGTCTCTACTTATAACACTAAGTAGGCCGAAAGATGAAATGAAATTAAATATATTTTATTGGAACAAAAATAGTGAATACAATAAATGTGTACGATAATAATTGCATTAGTTATAAAAACTGTGTCGCAACTATTATCGCCCACCTCTGAGATGGATCTAGAAGTGTATATTAACCGTGACTGTAATTCAATACCCTTTTGTAATTATAATGTTACTTTGTGACTTTGTGAGAGAAATAAATAAATCATTCAAATCATTCATTCATTCATTCATGCATTCTTAAACCATTCATTCATTCATTCATGCATTCATAAATCATTCATTCATTAAATAAAATCTTGTTATCGCATCCCTCAGGAGGGCTCCAAGGAGTGGTTGTCTCACGCGGACAGCATCGAGCAGGTCTACCATCAGCTCGACTCCATACCCTCGCTGCGGGGAGACGTTATTATTGATGACAGACATAATATGACTATAGGGAAACGGCTGATGATGGCTGACAGGTAATTATTGTTTTTATAATTTACTAGTTCTGCTTATTAGCGATATTTTCCCGCAGTTAAACGTAGCCTATGTGTTAATCCAGTGTGTCAGCTAAGTCCATAGCAAATTTTATTAAAATCGCTCCAGCCGTTTAGACGTGAAGAAGTAACAAACATATACACTCACAAATTTTCGCCTTTATAATAGTATATAAAGAAAATTTTACTAAAAAAATCCACGCGGTCCAGGAAACGGACGGGACTCGAACCCTTACCATCCGCTATCCGGGTGGATGCACTGACAAATTATGCTACCACGACCTTAATGAATTTCTTCTAGTACGTTAAGAAAGTTGAACTTTCTTGCTTGACGGGAACAGCTGCGCATGCATCACACACACACACACACACACACACACACACACACACATTGTACAAACCATTTTAATAATATTTTATTTAATTTGCATTCCGAGTCGATGCACTCTAAACTGCTGACACAGTTGACCCACTAAATGTTTTAAGAACAATATTTTACATTATACGACAGTGCAATAAAGGCATTCACATCATATTGACGTATTTTCATAATTATCTCCTGACAATCGTCACGTGACTAATTGACATATTGACAGACGTTAGGGTCCTAGTAACGGCCCCTACAGTTTGGTCCTTCGAGCGAACTTTTCTAGATTTTCGGTTTCACGAAAATACGTGTTCGTGGTTTAGGAAATTATTACCAGTGCATTGCGATAATATTAATTGACATATTGACATTCGTTAGGGTTCTAGTAACGGCCCCTACACATATATATATATATATATAACGCATTCCGTATATATATATGTACGGAATGCGTTTCATCTTTTCCATTGGATTTCCCCATTTACACTCCTTCCCAAAAGAAGTTTAAAAAAAGATACTAAAATGAGCACATATTTATTTAATTTAATATTTGTAGGTTGGGTTTCCCGTTAGCGGTGGTTTTAGGCAAATCCATGTATTCCGGCCAAGTGGAAGTGTACAGAAGCACACCGGGTCGCCAGTTCGAATCCCAGCTGATGACTTTACAACAAATGAACGAAGAACGAACAGCAATAAACAATTAGATAAAAGGAGACCCGGCACTTTTCATAGAAAAAATGCTAAACTTGTATACAGTTGAATTTGGTCTCAAAATAAAACCAAAATTATTTGCTACATAAAACTACTTTTGCCTTTTTTTTAGTGAATCGTAGAAAGAAGTTATTTAATGATTAATATTTTTTGATATGGAAACCCTAAATCTTCAAGGGACAGAATTTTACTTCAAAATATTACTTAAGTGACTGTAAAAACCATGATTCCTTTGCTTTTTCTAAATAAAAAACCAAATGTCAATTTGACAATCCTTTTTTTTTTTTTTGTTGACGGTGGAAAATGCATTTACGCACCATACCGCGCGCTTGCCAGGCGCGCGACGTGTGTGGGACTCCCCGGCGTGGAACAACGCCGGTCCTACCCACTAAAAACCACCGGTACCCTCCTCGGCCCTTATGAGGGCGCTCTGGGATCGGTGCACCTACGTGCGCCACTACACCAGAGCGTCCTAGGGCTGGCCCGGCCCAACGAGTGGACCGGGCGACGCGCCTATGGGGGGATTACTCTAGGGTACTAGGTAATCCCCAGACGGGGTGGCCTATGCCGAATGGCACCAAGGACGCGCGGCTGGCATGCCGCGCCCAGTCCACCTTAGGGCCGACGAAGACCGGCGGTCAAAGCCGCCTGTCTTCTTCGGCCCACCCGTCTACGCCGGAGGGGAGCGGCCAGAGCGTCCTCCTCCCGCTCCCTCTCCGCTGCCTCCTTCTGCCCCATCACAACCTCGCAGAAGGAGGCGGCAGCCTTCCATGCTCTCTCATTGCCAAGCATGGCTCGAACCATACTTGGCAATGAGAGCGCTCCACCGCCGAGCGCCGCCACCAACGTGCGGCGCTCGTTTCGCCAGGCCGGGCACACGATCAGTGTGTGCTCGGCCGTGTCGTCGGGGGAGGCGCAGTGATGACACCGCGGCAGCTCCTCCCGACGGGCGACACGGTGCAGGTAGTGGCCAAAGCACCCATGTCCGGTCAGTACCTGCACCAGGCGGTAGGTGAGGCTGCCCCGCTGGCGCCCTACCCACTCCTCCAACACCGGACGGATCGCCTCGATCGTCCGGTGGCCAGCGGCTGGGTTGGCGAGTGCCTCGCCCCATCGGCGCAGAGCCTCCCTCTGCGCCTGGGTGCGGACCCGTTCGATCTCCTCCCGAACGGGCCGCTCGCCCCGCTCTCTCGCCGCGGCCCTGTGTCGATGCACCTGGGACAGAACCAGGGCATCGATCTCCCACGGGAGCGTACCTGCGAGGACGCAGGCAGCCCCGTGGCTGACCGTGCGGTAAGCCCGCACGGCCCGGGCCGCGATGACCCTCTGTGGCCTCCGCAAGAGGGCCTTCGTGCGGGACGTAAGGCACTCCGCCCACACCGGGGCTCCGTACAGTGCCATCGACCTTATCACTCCATTATAAAGTCGACGGCACGACGCCCTCGGCCCTCCCACATTGGGGAGGAGCCGTCCGAGTCCGGCTGCGGCGGCGCACAGCCGGGGAGCGAGGAGCCTAAAATGCTCCTCGAACCTCCACCGGGGATCCAGGGTCAGGCCGAGATACTTCATGTGCATCTCGACATGAACCTGGATCCCCTCAACCCGGACACGGAGCCCCGGTGGGGTCCTGCGTCTTGGGGCATGGAACGCCATGGCCCTCGTTTTATCGAGGGCCACCTCCAGCCCCAGGAGGCGGATGCGTCGGACGACCATAGAGGTGCCGACCGACGCAAGGTGGAGCACCTCCTCCCACTCCTTCGCTCTCGCCGCGACAAGGGTGTCGTCCGCGAAGCAGACGACATCCATTCGCGGCAAGAGCGAGCCACGCAGGACCCAGTTGTACCCCAGGTTCCATAATAGAGGGCCTAAAACGGAACCTTGGGGCACACCTGCCGCCACTGTCCACGACTGAACGCACCCCTCCGCGTCCTCGTAGAGGACTGACCTCCCTCTCCCTCCGGCCCTCTTTACGGAGCAGGCAGAGCCGCCCCTCTCTCCAGCGCCTGGGGAAGCGACCCGATGCGATGCATATATCCAGCACCGCGCGGAATCGGTCCCCCAGGGGGCCCAAGGCGATCGCCATCACCTTGGCTGGGGCCCCATCCGGCCCCGGAGCCTTGTTACGGCTCCGGAGCCTGTCCCTCACCATGTCGAACTCAGCGTCCGACACGGAGGGACCAGCGGCCCACGCCTCCGGGGCGAAACCAGAGGCCATCCTGGGGGGTGCGAAAGGTCCTGGGTTCGGAAAAAGCGCCCCCAGTACCCCTCGCAACAACCCTGGCTCCATACAGGACGTTGAGGGGGCCGCCGAAGCGAACTTACCCCTAACCGCCCTGTACGGCTTCCCCCAGGGGTCGCTATCTAGGATAGCTATGTAACTATCCCAGGCAGCGACCTTGGCCCTGCAGATGGCAGTTCGCAGGGCCGTGTGGGCCTCATTGTACGCCCGGCGGAGGCTTTCCTCCTCACCGGGCGTTCTCCGGGCGCGCCTACGGCACCGTAGGTAGGCGCGCCTGGCCTCCATACTGGCGGTACGCAGGGTCGTGAGCTCCTGCGTCCACCAGTAAACCTGCCCCCTGCTCCGTGGGCAGGCCCGCGCCCTCGGCATGGCGGCACTGCAGACGGCGTTGATGTCGTCTGCGAACAGGTCCGCCATGCCGTCGGCATCCCCGGTGACAGTGTCGGGCACTTCAGACCAAGCCCGCACTGTCGCCGCCTCCTCCGCCACATCAGGCTGGAGGCGTGTGAGCATCCAGCGCCTAAACGGTGAGACGCCCACACGGGGGCCCAGATGAGAAGGGGCCCCAGGGAATGCCGTGGAGACCTCGTATCGGACGTATCTGTGGTCCGATAGGCTCTCCATGTCCACCACCACCCGCCAGTCCCGGACCCGGGCCGCGAGCGGTGGGGTGGCAAAGGACACGTCGATTAGAGACGTGCCCTGCCAGCGGGCGAAGGTCGGGGTGGTACCTCGATTGAGGATCTGGAGCCCCAGAGAGAAAGCCCAGGACTCCAGAATACCACCCCGAATGTCAGTGCGGGGTGACCCCCACGCCGTAGACTTGGCGTTAAAGTCCCCTGCCACCAGTACCTGACGGGGGGCTGCGCGGTGGACGACCCCTTCGACCGCAGCCAGAAACCGCTCAAAATCGGCTCTGCTGCGGTTAGGGGAGAAGTAGGTCGACACTACCACTACTTCTCCCCATCGGGCCGCCACATACCCCTCTCCTCTTTCCACGAAAACGAGGGAGGAGCCCGCGCCAGTAACCACGACTGCCGCGGAGCCATCTACCGCCCCCATCCACCTGTCGGACGGGGGGATGCGGTACGGCTCCGAGACGAGCACCACGTCCACCCTCCACTCCGCCGCCACCTGACACAGGAGGTCCTGTGCCCCAGCGCAGTGGTTTAAATTAATTTGTAGTATCTTCCCCGATGTCCTATAGGGCATTATTAACGGACATCGGGGTCGCTACAGAAGCCGATACCGGCTGTGCGCTGCTGGGCCCTGCACGAGGTGCGGCCTGCGACGCGTCCCTGGGGGGTGCCCCTATATGGAGAGGGCGGCCCCTGACCAGCGGGGGGTTACATTTGGCCCCCGCCATCCGGTGCCCGGCTACAAGTCCTCTGTCCGCGCACACGTCGCAGTGCGGCGGAGCAGAGCAGCCCTTGGCTTTGTGCCCCTCTTTGCCACAGCGGTAGCACAATCCACTGCGGTCCTTTTTGGAGGGGCATTTGGCCCCTGGATGCCCGGGCGCCAGGCACCTATGGCACCTCATTGGGCGCCGTTCCAGGAGCCGGACCGTCGCCTCAAACCAACCGACCTGTAGCCGCCCTTCCTTCACAATCTTGGCGACCGCCTCCACCGGACATGAGACGATCGCCGAGCCCGCCCCTCGTGGACCACTGGAAACTGCCCCCACCTTTATGGTCTCAGGGGTGCAGCCGGCCTTTGTTGCCAAAGCCGCCCTCAGCTCATCGGGTGTCGTAGCATCATCCAGCCCCGACACCCGGACCTCTGCCGTCTTGGTAGGCCTTGAAACCTTAGCCGACTCACCTAGGGCCTCTCTCACTTTAGCCGCCAGTGTGTCTGCCTGGGCCGCCGTGGTCCCGGACGGGAGCTCAATAATGCGTGCTCCTGTTATTGTCGTCCGGAACTTCGCTGGGCCAATGCCCAGCTCCCCCAGGTTGACCGACTGTCTGGCCTTGGTCAGGGCATCCTTATAGGTGGCCCCCCCGGCCACCGCCTCCGGTTTGAGGGCCACGACCACCGCCATCGTTTTCGGTGGCTTCGGGACCTTAGGGACCTTTTTCTTCCCGGCCTTCTTCTTTTTAGGCTTTTGGGCCGCAGAGGTGGGTATTTGGGCCGGTGCCGGAGCCTTCTTTGGCTTTCCCCCCTTTCCCACTGCCACCCACTGTCCCTCAGCCACTAGTGGCGCGCTCCCGCTTGGAGTCGGGTCAGCCGCCGGCCTTTCCTTCCTCACAGTAGGAGGAGTGGGAGTGGAAACCTCTGGTGTTGCATTCTCTTTTTTCCTGCTCTTTCCCTTGCCCTTACCCTTGCCTTTGCCTTTACCCTTGGCCTTCTCGGGCATGTTGGCGGGCGGGGTAAGGGTTGTAGGGGCATTCGCACTACCCCCAGCCGGCCGCGCAGTCGTTGGGGGCTTCTGCGCTGCGGCCTTTGTATCCGCGGCCAAGGGCGGGCGGCGCGGTTTGACAGAGGTGGGCAACAGCCGGCCGTCGACCTCCAGGCCCTCTAACCTGGCCTGGAGCATGTTGCCGAACTGCTGCATCAGAGAGCTCTGCTCCCTCCTCAGCTCCTCCAACTCCCTCCTCACCATGGAGACCTCCTCCCCTCCAGTGCCCCGAGGGGTTTCCACCACAATGGGCGCAGCTGGTTCCTTGCAGCGCCCTGACCTCGACTCCTCAAAGGCCTTTCTGAAGGCGGCGAGCTCAGCGGTAACTTTGCTGAGTTCTTCTTGCAGGCGCTTGTTGTCCGCCTGCAACCGCTTAACCTCCTCTG